AAAACCCCTAAACCCCTAAACCCCAAACCCCTAAACACCTAAACCCTAAAACCCCTAAACCCTAAACCCGCAAAACCCCAAACCCCTAAACCCCTAAATCCCTAAACCCTAAACCCGCAAACCCCCAAACCCTAAATCTTAAACCCCTAAACCCCAAACCCTAAACCCTGAACCCCCAAACCCAAAACCCTAAACCCCAAACCCCAAACCCTAAACCCTAAACCCCCAAACCCTAAACCCTAAACCCAAAACCCAGAGCCCGGAAGCCCCAAAGCCCTGGCCGTCACTGCACGGGATGAGGCGTGGGAGCTAGGATTAGGGGGACTCTTGGGGATATAGACCCTCTCAATAAGGTCCCTTTTAAGAGAGCCAAAAGTAGGGTTCAGAAGGGGTGCCCCTAATAATACTACCTGAGGTGTCGAGCCGAGGAGTTTCATGTCTGGAAGCGCGTCTGACGCACAGAGGCATCCCGGTTTAGGGGTTTAGGGGTTTAGGGTTTTAGGGGTTTAGGGTTTAGAGGTTTAGGGTTTAGGGTTTTTAGGGTTTAGGGTTTAGGGTGGTTTCCTACGAGCCTCAAGTCGTGGATCGAGTGTAAAGGGTCCGTATAAGGGGTTCCCTTTTAGGGATCTATAAGAAGAGGCTTGAGGAACTATAGGTTTAGGGTTTGCGCCTGTTTGAGCTTTAGGGCCCAGGCTTTAGGGTATATACACTAAACCCTAAACCCCAAATCCTAAAACCTACACCCCCTCAAGGCCCCGAATCCTGCTCTAAACCACAAGGGTAGTTCTCTAGATTAGGGTCCCTTTGAGGGTCCTTTTTGTAAGGGTGCCGTACTATATAGGGGACCTAAAAAGGGACCCTTAGAGAACTACGTACCCACAAAACTTCAAACGCAATAAGCCTGAGTCAACGATATATTAGGGTTTAGGGTTTGGGGTTTAGGGTTCAGGGCCCCTTCTACACCCGCTTATACAGCCCATGTTGAAAAGCACTTTCGAGCCATTTACAAAGCCCTGCAAAAGCCAGGAAAGACCCTGTACAACCTTGCCCTCATGAAAGCCAAAGCCCTAAACCCTAAACCCTCAACCTTAAACCTCATGAAAGCCAAAGCCCTAAACCCTAAACCCTATTGCAGCTCATATCATATGGCTTTGTCCCTTAACTAGGGCCCCTTTTAGGGCCCTTTTTCTAAGGGTGCCGTACTATATAGGGGACCTAAAATTTAAAGGGACCCTACTTTAGAGAACTACCCATATCCCTCGCAGTAGAGTAGGTAACCTTTGACCCTTTTGGTCCGTATGTTTTTTTTGTAATCCCAAAGGCTTACCTTTAGCTCCCCTAGGATACTCGGAAACTAAGACTAGATACCCTAAACCCAAAAAAAACCCTAAACCCTAAAGCAGGTGACGGAGCGCCTTCGAGATGCATTCGGCCCAGAACTGGTCAAGGACTTCGAACACGGGACGTGCTCTGGACCCGGTCACGGCGAGGGTTTCAGGAGGGGGGAGGGAGCATGAAATGAGCCGGGTTTAAGGGGTATACTGTGGTCGAGTTGACATATATTATTACATGGGGGGGTACAATTACTGTGGTATAGTTGCATGTTACAGCGTCTTTGTGTGTTCAGACCCCTAAACACCGGTATTCTAAATGATTGCTGCGCTCTCCCGCCCTGCAAGCACTCCTACCCAAAGCCCCAAACCCTAAACCCCAAACCCCAACCCCTAAACCCTAGACCCTTTCAGCTCAAGTTCTTTGGACCAAGAAGCCTCCAGCATATGCCTCAGTGCGAACCTGAAAGGTCGAACGTAGGTATTTGAGTTCAGGGTAGTTGTAATCTAGGTTCCTGAGTAGTACCCTTAAGCCCGTTTTATTTCCCCTTATTAAAAAAACGAATGGTAGGAAAAGGGTACCCTTATTATTTAGGAGTCACTCACTCAGGAACCTAGTAATTAGTAATTCAGTTCAGGTTCGTATATCGTATATGACTGTCAGATACATGTCTTGTTAGGGTAAGTGCTACAGCCTAAACTCGTCGAGTACTTTGGAAGCCGCCTGGGTTGAATTTGAGGCCAAGTTGAACCTCGCGAAGCTTGCCGACGCAAAGATGAACCCCCGAGCCGCCGCGCAGGGTCTTTGCGGATCGAAAGGGTCCTAAGTCTGTCTATCTATCTATCTATCTATCTATCTATCTATCTATTTATCTATCTATCTATCTATCTATCTATCTATCTATCTATCTAGCAGTATGTACAGTTTCTATCATAGGAACTACTACCGTTATGGTTTGGGCAAGTATTCCCCATACAGGTACTTAAGACCCTTTTGCGGCGCATTCCAGAGCCGACCGGAGCGGTGCAGGTCAAGGCACCGCTGTCGGGAAGCAACGGAGCCTTCACCGAAAGCCTCCTTGCGATGGGTTTAGGGTTTAGGGGTTTAGAGTTTAGGGATTTTCATATGCAGTCATATGTGCCAAGACTGTCTCCACATACAAACGGTTTATATAGTCCGAGACACGAGTATATAAAAGTCGCAGATTCATGTTTTTATTCACGTTGATATACTTGCATAACCTTTAACGGGACCGAATTGCTGCTCATGTCTGTTGGCGCAGACTATCTATGTTGACGCTTGTCGTTCATTTTGCTGCCAAGTACCGAAGAGCCATGTCACAAAATGGGGGGTTTCCGAAAATAGGGGACCCTAGTAGCACCCTAAATAGTAGGATCCTTATTATGAGAACCCCCAGAGTAAGGCCAGGCACCCCTTATTTCGGAAACTCCCAAATGCGAGCCTCGACCATGAGCTTGCTGCGGCATGGGACAAAAGAGCTGGTGAGTGCAACAGGGGGTTGGGTTGTCCTGTGCGTTCTCTCGACTAGTACGCGTAAGGCACGAACCCTCAGCTAAAATGTATTAAGATAGAGGCCTGAATAATTACCTGTACTATTGTGGGGGCTCCTTATTCAAATTACGGTATGATACCCCGAAACCCGATTGAAATTATCAAAGGCCCTACATTATATCATCTTTCATCCGTGCCACCAACACCAGAAGCTTCCGCATTGAGTGGGAGTTTCAGGACTGTGATGCCTTGCCTTGGTGGCGCAGGTCTATTTCAGAAGGTTAACAGTTAAGACAACATAGTTCAGGGCTTTAGGGCGCCAGGGCTTAGGGTTTGTAATGTAGAAGCTTAAGGAATCATCAACTTTTTTTGGGGGGGTCCTTACCATAACTGTACCATAAGGGAGCCCAAAATCCTATTCTAATTACTAAGGCCGCTACTTGACTCCATTCTGAGCACCCTAAACCTTAAACCCCAAACCCTATTCTAATTATTATCGGCTCTACATTAAACCCTCAAGCCCTGAACCCGAAACCCAAATCCTAAACACAGAAACCTAAACCTTAAATCTGAAACCCTAAACCCTGAAGACTCCACCCTTATCCCAGAGCCCTCAACTCCCACTGAGGGACCCCTTTGTAGTTTTAGAGAAGACGGTTTAGGGTTTAGGGTGTAGAGTTTAGGGTTCAGAGTTTAGGGTTTAGGGTTTTGGATTTAGAGTTTTGGGTTAGGGTTTAGGGCTGAGGGTTTCGTTTTGGGGAAGCCCCTTCCCGGCACAGGGCAAGGAGGCTTCAGTGATTCTCGGAGACAGGGATTCGGACTTTTTGTTTCTAAAGTTGGGTTCTTGGGCTTGAGTGTTTAAAGTCTAGGGTTTAGGGGTTAGAGTGCAGGGTTTAGGGTTTAAAGCCTAGGGTTTAGGGTTTAAAGCTTAGGGTTTAAAGTGCTTTATTGACATTATCTTCAGAAGGAGGCGCATCCTTTTCAGACTGGTTTTCGGTAACCTTAGTTCATTTCTCTAGCGAGAACCCGGTTTGGGTAGCTGAAGGTTTCAGCATTTAGGTTTAGACCAACCCGAAACCCCAAACCCTAAACCCTAAACCCCAAACCCTAAACTAAACCCTAAACCCCAAACTCGAAGCCCGAAGCCGCCAAACCCTAACCCGGTCCTAAAGCCCCATTAAAACCGAAGCTTCCACGGGTTTAGGGTTTGGGGATTAGGGAGTCTCATCGCCGAGGTTTCCGTCGCGAAACGCGTCTCCCTAGAGATGGGCGTAGCGGGCTCAGCGCATAGGGTCTTTAAGGCTGTTTAGAGGTTTAGGGCGTCGGGTTTGGCACTCAAGGGTTTAAGTTAGGGTTGTAAGGTTCCAGGAGCCTAGCACTGGGTGGTGTGTTTTGGAATTAAAAAGCGTTTATGGAGTGTTTTAGGAGCATTCTCGGAAAGCTTTTTGATAGCACTTCCTGCGGAGATAGTGTTTCTCGAAAGCGTTTTGGTTGACATGTGTGTGTGTGTGTGCGTGCGCCTCGTTCCTTTGTCCACAACCTGAGCCAGAGCAACGGCACCTCAGCAGCCTCACCAGACACACGGAACCAGCAAACACATGAGTATTGAATAGGGCTGAACAGGGGCCCTACTTGGCCCTACCTGCAACTCGCATCTCGCGGCAGCATGGCTGGACAGTGCGGCTGGGAGGGAGTTCTCGGAGTGATGCGCGC